CTGGGGGCGGCCCAGAGCTGGACTGGGAGCACTGGGGGCCAACTGGGAGCCAACTGGGAACCAACTGGGAGCACTGGGAGCCAACTGGGAGCACTGGGAACCAACTGGGAGCACACTGGGAACCAAGTGGGTGCACTGGGAGTCAATTTGGGAGCCACTGGGAGCCAACTGGGAGCCAACTGGGAACCAACTGGGAGCACTGGGAGCCAACTGGGAGCACTGGGAGTCAACTGGGAACCAACTGGGCGTCAACTGGGAGGACTGGGAGTCAAGTGGGAACCAACTGGGAGCCAACTGGGAGCCAACTGGGAACCAACTGGGAGGACTGGGAGCCAACTGGGAGCACTGGGAGTCAACTGGGAACCAACTGGGAGCACTGGGAGGCAACTGGGAGCTTTTCCCCCTCAGGTTTCAGCCTTTTTTTGTCCTCAAATTTCCCGCCCTTTCCCCCTCAAATTTCCCTGATTTTTCCCCTTCACTTTTCCGTTGTTTTCCCCCCTCATGTTTTCTTCAGAGTTCACTCCATTTCCCCCACACATTTGCCTCCATTTTCCTCTCATTTTTCCTCCATTTTCCCCTCACTTTTCCTCCATTTTCCCCTCACTTTTCCTCCATTTTCCACTCACATTGCCTTTCGTGTCCCCCTCACATTTCCCTCCATTTCCCCCTTCACATTTTCATTTCCCCCTCACATTTCCCTCAATTTCCTCTTCACGTTTCCCTCCATTTTCCCCTCACGTTTTCCTCACATTTCCCCCTTACTTTTCCCTCCATTTCCCCCTCACATTTGCATCCATTTTCTCCCTCATATTTCCCCTTCACATTTCCCTTCATTTTCCCCTCACATTTCCCTCCATTTTCCTCCATTATCCCTCACGTTTCCCTTCATTTTCCCCTCACATTTCCCTCCATTTTCCACTCACATTTCCCTCCATTTTCCCCTCACATTTCCCTCCATTTCTCCCTCACATTTGCATCCATTTCCCCCTCATATTTCTCTCCATTTGCCCCTCACATTTCCCTTCATTTATCCTTCACATTTCCCTCCAATCTCCCTCACTTTTCCCCTCACATCTCCCTCGGTTTTGCCCTCATGTTTTCTTCATATTTCCCTCCATTTCCCCCCTCACATTTCCCTCCATTTTCCCCTCACGTTTCCCTCCATTTTCTCCCTCATATTTCCGCTTCACGTTTCCCTTCATTTTCCCCTCACATTTCCCTCCATTTCCCCCTCACATTTCCCTCCATTTTCCCCTCATATTGCCCTCCATTTCCTCTTCCCGTTTCCCTCCATTTTCCCCTCACGTTTTCATTTTCCCTTCATTTCCCTCCATTTTTCCCTTCACCTTTTTCCTCCATTTTCCCCTCAGGTTTCCCTCCATTCTACCCTCACATTTCCCTCCATTTTCCCCTCACGTTTTCCTCAATTTTCCCCTCACATCTCCCTCACTTTCCTCCTCACACCTCCTTCGTTTTTGCCCTCATGTTTTCTTCATATCTCCCTCCATTTTCCCCCTCACATTTGCCTCAATTTTTCTCCCTCACATTTTCCCCTCACCTTTGCCTCCATTGCCCCCTCACATTTCCCTCCATATTCCCCTCATGTTTCCCTCCATTTTCCCCTCATGTTTTCTTCATATCTCCCTCCATTTTCCCCCTCAAGTTTCCCTCCATTTCCCCCTCATTTTTCCCTCCATTTTCCCCCTCACATTTGCCTCAATTTTTCTCCCTCACATTTTCCCCTCATGTTTGCCTCCATTTTCCCCTCACATTTCCCTCCATTTTCCCCTCATGTTTTCTTCATATCTCCCTCCATTTTCCCCCTCAAGTTTCCCTCCATTTCCCCCTCATTTTTCCCTCCATTTTCCCCCTCACATTTGCCTCAATTTTTCTCCCTCACATTTTCCCCTCATGTTTGCCTCCGTTTCCCCCTCATGTTTGCCTCCATTTCCCCCTCATGTTTGCCTCCATTTTCCCCTCACATTTCCCTCCATTTTCCCCTCATGTTTGCCTCCATTTTCCCCTCATGTTTCCCTCCATTTTCCCCTCATGTTTGCCTCCATTTTCCCTTCATGTTTGCCTCCATTTTCCCCCTCACATTTGCCTCAATTTTTCTCCCTCACATTTTCCCCTCACCTTTGCCTCCATTGCCCCCTCACATTTCCCTCCATATTCCCCTCATGTTTCCCTCCATTTTCCCCTCATGTTTTCTTCATATCTCCCTCCATTTTCCCCCTCAAGTTTCCCTCCATTTCCCCCTCATTTTTCCCTCCATTTTCCCCCTCACATTTGCCTCAATTTTTCTCCCTCACATTTTCCCCTCATGTTTGCCTCCATTTTCCCCCTCACATTTCCCTCCATTTTCCCCTCATGTTTCCTTCCATTTTCCCCTCACATTTGCCTCAATTTTCCCCTCACATTTCCCTCCATTTTCCCCTCATGTTTCCCTCCATTTTCCCCTCATTTTTCCCTCCATTTTCCCCTCATGTTTCCCTCCATTTTCCCCTCACATTTCCCTCCATTTTCCCCTCACATTTCCCTCCATTTTCCCCTCATGTTTCCCTCCATTTTCCCCTCACATTTTCTAAAAACAAATTAAATTAAAAAGCATCACCCATTCCACAACCCCATTTACCCCTGAAACACACTGGCTCTGCTTTGCAGTATTTTCTTGGGGCAGAGAAGGGGACAAGACAAGAAAAGGGACATGGTTGTAGCAGGAGCAAGATCCACAACTTGTCAGAGAGAAAGTGCAGCAGCCTGTTCAGAAATGGTCCAGGGAGGGAGTGGATTGGAATACACAAAGGAGTGAACAAAATCCCAGTGTTAGGCTCTCACCGGAAGCCATCTGGAATTAATCTCCCCTCTCCACTGCAAATCAAACTATTTTTAACAGTTAAAAATCCAGCAATCAGAGAACTCTGTTGCAACTTGCAAAAGGAGCCAGACTGCAGTTGTGAGTTTGCAGGACTGAAAACCAAGGCTTGGCAAACCATCACTGCTGACACCAGAAAAGAAAGTCAATGCAATGGAGGTCAGCAGATCCCTGATTTTGAAATTAGGCACCTAAGCACTGTTGAATCCCATCTGATTTTTTAAAGTTCTGAGGACTCAAATGGTTCAAAATGCTCTTATCAAGGCTTTGTCAAGAGAACATGTCTCTTTGAGGTTTCAGCTCAAATTTAGATTGGAATAGCTCATCTTTGGGGGCAAGATCATAGTTACAGTCCCAAATTTTTCCCAGAAAAATCTTGTGTCAGTACTTAGCACCACTCCTGCAGGTCTCACTGCTGCAAAACTTCCCAAGCTGGGTTCCCCATGCTGTCAGAGGACCTGGTGTCACTTGTGGGGAATGTGTAGCCAAATATCTTGTGCCTGTTTTAAGCTACCTTAGACCTCCCAGCTGCTCGATCAGGGGCTCCTCACCATTCCCACAGCCTTTGTACTTAAATAATTCAGGAGTTTTGCAGAGTGTGAAGCACTCACTTCCTCCTGAGCAGCTTCCTTCGGCTCATTGTACATTTGCATTGCAATGCTGCCTGCAGGCTTTACTCAGCACCAGGCACCTGAACCCACAGGCTCACCCCAACCACATTGCATAGGTGATTTGTGGGATTTTTTTGGATCATCTAGGCAGTTTTACTCAACACTTGCAGCCTGGGAAGAGACTGGTGTTGAAATAGAGACCATAAAACCAGAGGGAGGACACTGAATGGTGTCTGCTCCTGTCTAGGGAGTCAAACCTTCCTGCAAAGCTGAGAATGAGCACCTAATACCAAAGGTTACTTGCTCCTCTGTAGATGGCAACAACAGATTTCCTAAGCCCAGATCATCACCCTGCAGATCTTGCAGACTCCCCTCGAGTCAGAAGGCACACTGCCAGCCATAGGTTTTTGTCTTCTACAGATAAATTAGTGATTTCACTCTTTCTGCCCCTGAGTCCACACAGGTCCCAGAAAGATTCCATTTCCTTTCATCTTCAACACGAGTAAAATTGCAGGCTCACACTCCAGCCACTCCAGTTCTGTGTTGAACTCAGACCCTGCATTGCAGGTACCAGTAGCAAAGGCTGGACTGATCAGGAGAACCACCCCTCTCCCTCCAGCCCCACAGGTTCTGCATGAGCTGTAGCACCACATGATGCTCATTTAAACCTCAGACTCCAGATTTCTCTGATCCTACTTGCCTTTTGGAAAATCATACTGTCAGAGTACTGAATATGCTCCTTGCTATTTGCCCTGTAATTAAGCAGTAATTGCTGCCCAAGGCTAATCTCAGAGTGTATTTTACCTGTGGAGCTCAGCGCCAGAGTTCACATTTGTAATTTAGTGGCACACCAAGGAGCTATACCTAAACTCACAAAAGGATTTTCACTGCTCATCATCTCTCTTCTACTTTGGTGGCAGCTGGGATTCTGCATTTGGAGATGTTTGGGCTGGGCAAACAGATTAGCTGAGACCAGCCTCATTAGGAATTCACATGGGTGCCGATCCTGCCTCAGCAGGAATAAGATGCTGACTGCTCTGTTTCTGGACCCCAAGCCCTCCCCAGCATGGGATACACACTGAAACCTCTTTATTTCTACTTGCACAGCCTGGCAGCCTCCAAGGAAGCTGAAGCAGCAGCTCGATCAGCCCCCAAACCCATGTCTCCTTCTGACTTCTTGGATAAGCTGATGGGGAGAACTTCAGGATATGATGGGACAGGTGGGACAGGTGGGGATGGATGGGACAGGTGGGGATGGGTGGGACAGGTGAGGACAGGGGGGGATGGATGGGACAGGTGGGACAGGTGGGGATGGATGGGACAGGTGGGGATGGGTGGGACAGGTGAGGACAGGTGGGGATGGATGGGACAGGTGGGACAGGTGGGGATGGATGGGACAGGTGGGACAGGTGGGACAGGTGGGGATGGGTGGGACAGGTGGGGATGGATAGAACAGGTGAGGACAGGTGGGACAGGTGGGGATGGGTGGGACAGGTGAGGGACAGGTGTGGGACAGGTGTTGGACCAGGTGAACACCTCGCCACACTGCAGCACGTCCGGGAACGCACCTGGCCAGGTGAGAGCGGTCAGGGACAGGTGGGACAGGTGAGGACAGGTGGGACAGGCGGGAACAGGTGGGGATGGGTGGGACAGGTGAGGGACAGGTGGGACAGGTGGGACAGGTGGGGATTGATGGGACAGGTGAGGGACAGGTGGGAACAGGTGGGACAGGTGGGGATGGGGGGGAGAGGTGAGGGACAGGGGGGACAGGGGAGGGACA